GCTTTAACAAGATTTACTAGTAGTGGTTCACTCTCTCTCAGGATTAAAGTTATAGGATAGTCAAAGGTGGATTTAACTAGTTGAAAGAGGAATAAGCCCTCCCCCAAGATGGGTGGGTCACTGTGTGTGTCCTATTTTGGAGAGAAAGTATGTATGTTTTTGTTATAGAGTAGTTGCATCAATTTTTGGTAAAAGAATAACTTTGTTTTGGCCCTTATTTGTAAGGGAATGTGGTTAATATATGAGTATGAAAGCCATATTGACAAGAACTGGACTGGATTGTGCAGCATGTGTTTAATTAAAACTGGGGACTACATTTCCCAGAATTCCCTTCTCTGTATGGTTCAGACTGAAAGTTGGCCCAGGAAAGAATTGTGAAATTTGTCAGGTAGAGGTAAAACCAAAGTCATCAAGGACAGACATCCAGTGTTTACTCCACACCAGATTTCCTCCTGCCTCACTGACCCACCCACCAGGGGCCTCTCGCAGACCCACAGAGCCCATAGCTATTCAGAGGCCTGAGATCCCCCAAAGATTTCATTCACTATGCATCTGGGAACTGTAAGTGATGGGTCAGGCTGGACTTCACAAATTTCCTGAAAGTGCCCACTTGTTCACTCACACGGTGCTTTAGGCAGATTAGTTACTCTCAGACCTGCATTTTCCCTTTTGTTTCCCAGATCTCCTCTGTGTTAGATCAAATTTCTATTAACTCCCTTATTTCCACATATACTTATAGGGACTGTTTTCTTGACTGATCAAGGTAACATGAACACAAAACCGTGGTTTTGCTGTTCATTTTCTTCACAATCTTTAAAAAGAATCCAAAACACATATACAATAATGTGGGAGACCAACCTTACACGTGACTGAGTCACACTCCCTGGCTGGGTGCTGAGGTGCTCAGTCACAGAAATGTGGGTGGTGTCTCATACATGAATGTGTCTTGCTACAGCCCCATGGGTGAAGCTACGCTCACCTGTTCCTTTGTAAGATAACCCCTTGCCCTGTTTAGGATAGAATCTTCCATGGAAGTGCCTTGTGTGTGTCCCCTTCTCTTACTGTGCCCTTGGGTGTGGCCTACCCAGGTGTCAGTCAACCTGCTGAAAGTGGACATTATGAAGATACTCAGCCCCCTGAAACCTGACCCCTTGCTTCATTTGAAAAGCTTCCCTCAAAAAGGGGTCAGCCCGTGCTCTCGCTCTCTCTCTTTCTGCGGACCCTTAAGGTCAGAGGAGCCGTCCCAGCGACCCCAAAGAAAAAGGTATTTGTGTCTCTTGTGTGGTTATTTTGTGCAGCCCAGTTAGCCCAGTTTAACTGGAGTGACTCCTGAGCCTTTTAGTCGCGAGAACAGAAACCCGGCACAATAATACATTATGAAATTGTGGCTAACCTATGAAAGTAACAATCAAACAGGAAATCTGGACTGGACGAAGCCTGTTCCCCCAGTAATAACTGTTCTATGGGTTCCACATCCACTAAGTGGATTAAATGAAATTACAGAGTATTCCTTGTTAAGAGACTGCCACCAGGGGGCAAAGAAAATGTAATACGAACTAATAACAGCAACAGTTATTTATTTAGCACCCAATATATAAGCATTAGTGTACTTTGCAGTTTATTCAAGCTACCTTTTATCTCTGAGAATCTTGCAAGTTAGATATTTATATCCTTATTTTATTGAGAATTGACAAATGCCCAGAGAGTGAAAGTTACCTGTCCAAGTCATCCTGCTGGGTCTATCCTAGAGCTCATCTGCAAAGTTAGTGCTCCCTCTAGGAAGACATACTGGTGTATACCTCATATACATTTTACTAACACATATCTCTGGATTTGTGTCCTTTGTGAGCCCTCCTCCTCAGTTCCATGTCTTATGCTAACCTCTACTTGTCTTATTGCTTAGAAATCATACACTGTTTTGTCTTTTTTTTTTTTTTAGCCTCTTCCCAAAGGGAGGTTTTCACCCAGGAAAAGTTCTAATGAGCAAATTATTGACAAATATGGTCTAGTGTTTTCATTTTCTTAAAATTTTTATTGTCTTAGACTTGAAATGTATTCATGAATCCAACCAGTATTTACTCTTTCTGATCAGGTTATAGATGATTCTGTCCCAATATTGAAAGCAGTAAGGAAAGATTCCACCAACCAGGTCTCTGATGGGCTTTCTCTACATGGTATTTTAAATAAGAGGATGCATTCAGGGCCTGTGGATACAGCTCAGTTGGTAGAGTGCTTGCCTTGTATGCATGAGGCATTGGGTTCTAATCCCCAGCACCCCCCCCCAAAAAAAAAAAAAGATGGTGCACTATAAGATAGCCATTCTGCTATTTGAAAGATAATTAAAATTTCATTCTTCTGAATTCTTTTTTCATGATATTTTAACTTGCTATATCCTCTACACTATAGTCAATTCATTTTGGTCACATGCTGGTTCTTACAATGTTTACCCCCTCTTCTTTCCTACCTCCATGGTGGCTTAGGAGTTCAGGCCTCAAGCAAAATCCATGGGCATATATGTCAAGATTATAAACAACTCACTGATGCACCAATGTTGTCAAATGCTGCCATTGGTTGGTTGCTTTTCTGCACACATGATAACATAGACAGTGAGCATCTTGAGGCTAAGCCTCTGTTTTCATGCAAGTATCCTTTGCATCTATCTAGCTTAGTGTATGACACAAAGTAGTGTTAACGATGAGGTGTTGAATAAATGAATTCCTATGCTACTTCTTTAGACCTTCGTTTAATTCAGTTAGTGAAGAACTATTATTGAGCACTTAGGTATTGGATACCACACAAAAGCTGTCAAGAAACAAAACAGACACAAATCCTGCCTCAGACCTGAGTCTGAAATTGCAGAAGTACCTCTAATCTTGGGTCTGGATACTACCACTGCTGAGCCTCACTTCCTTACATCCTATTTACTGGTTGAACAAAAGACCTATTTTATAAAATTATCTATGTAGACTAACTGAAAAGTTAAGATCATAAATTGTTCTTAAAATTCTGAATACTACTAAATAAATGTTCTTCTTCATTCAAAAGCAATTCCATTTCTCCAATGAAAACCACATGAAGAATTCAGCAACTCTAGAATTACTGAATTTTTAATCCAGATGTCTACTATATAGTATAACTTCCTTTAAAGCATATTTTACATTTGACATCCTCTATGGGATCTAGTGCATTTTTAAAAATAGCATTCTATAAATGAATTAATGCAATAGAAATATTAATCACCAAAGATTCTAACCTGAATAGCATTTGGGAGATCCAAGAATCCCATGAAATTATATGCAAAACTGTGTGCTTGCAGGCCATTTTTGGTTTTATCAGTCTCAAAGAGATCTATTATCCAAAATTATTTCTTCACTTAGATGTATTAACTTTTGCCAGCCATATCACTATGGTTTAGACTCAGAATCTAAAGCTTTTTTTTTATAAGAAGTGAGTATTGAGTGCAACAAAATTTTACAGAATCTTTTTTCTCACACACCATTAAAATTAATACATAATCATTATATATATAATCTCAAATCAGCATTTGATACTTTAGTGACTTAATATTTTATATGCTGGCAAATATGATTTAGAAATATATTTTACTGACTTTAGGGAAAAGATTCCATGAGAATAGAACTGACAGGGCTTTAGTAGTGTAGTGTGTGTATATTTACACATACACACACATCCATACATGTAAAGAAATATCTAGTGAATCATCTATTATATCCCAGCTGGGTTTTCATTTATTCCTAACAATAAAATTACTGTCCTTTTAAAAAATGATGACACATAAAGAAAACTTCATAAAAATTGTTTAGTAAGCAGTTTCCTCAGGGATTTTCCACTGACTATTGAAATAAACAGTTTTCAAATGCTCCAGATGGAGAACGAAATATACTTTTTAAACCACAAGAATACCTCTAAATTTTAATGACAATTTTCCCCCCTTTGGAAATTTTATGTCTCCCTCAATGCATTAAGCCTAATACATAGGGTCATTCAATATTTGTCTGAACAGTTATTTTATTTTTCTGAATAGAATTATTTTTGCTTTGAGAATGGGTGCTATATTCTTATCTCAAACATATGGAAAAGATTATTTTCTCAGATACAGACATAAGGAAATTAAAAGATTAAAATCATCATTCACAGTAGAAATTCACTTTACAATATGAAAATTTTAATGTAGCATGATCCAAAATGATTATTGCAAAAAAACAAAAGTGTTAGTTTCTACCATTAGGAAACAATGCATACATACATTAATTCACTCAGCAGAATTGAGTTGCAATTAGTGATAGTGACCAGAAGATGGCGGAGTCCAACTTCCTAATATTCATTAAGTAAGCCTTTATAATTCAAAATGTTAACTTCAAAGAGAATTTTAAATTGGCATTGTTTTTACAAATGATAGTGAAAAATAAGACTTTGCAAAAAATAAGGAATTCAAACTTCTCAAAAGCTTTATGATTAATCACTTATCTACAAATAAATTTTTAAAAAATACTTTGAATAATTTTTTTCTACCCTGTGAACAAGGAAGGAAAGATGAGAATTTTAGGATAACAATTACTTAGAATTACCTCAAATTTAATATTCTTCCTTTTAGTTCATTTTATATTATGCTAGATTGCTCCATAAACTTTTTACAGCTAAAATCCCCACTTTTCACCAAAATATAAACAAGTGTAGTTTTACAACAGGAATTTTACAAATGATAACTTAGGGAGAACATTCTTTAAAGTAAAACTATTTCATTAAAAAGCTTTATTCAAGGCACAGACAATGTTTAAATGCTTCTTTCACTTAATAAAGTCTTTAAATCTAAAATCTATTTATATTGCTGACTAAAAAAAGAAATAGCATTTTTAAGGCCTAGTAATTCACTCATATACTTATTTAAGTACATTAATAGATCTCTTGTGTGTATGTGTTTGTATGTGTGTGTTTCATAATTCTAGAAATACTCCAGAAAGGGAGAATGAATAGATACATTACAGACTGTCCTGACTGGGTCTAAAATACAGCCTACTACCAGTTATTGAGCTTTTACTGGGAAAGTAGGAAGTATCCCTTATCATCCCTGAAAAAGTATAATCCAAAGATGGCTGAAAAGGCAATGCTGGAACCAACCCAGGTGTTAGGTAGGGTGACACAAAACCAGACAGCCCTCTCCCTGGCGAAGAATATGCCAGTCGTAATGGACTAATCTCTAGTCTAGGATTTAAGCTGTAGAGGTTTGAATCACCTCTGTAAGAAGCAGATGGGGTTTGAAGAGGAGAGAAAGCTGATTTATTACCTAGAGTTCCAAAACCAATTCTAGCTAGACTAAAATTTGAAGCTCTTGAAAAGGCTGTGTTTTCCAGTTTTCTGGAGTATGCTAGATCCCTGGTATCTTGCTTGCGTTCTTTCCCATTTAAGATCTGTTCAATGGCTTGGACCACATCCCCTTTGCAGAACCGTAGAACACTTTCTAGCCAGGTGAGCCTGTAACGTGGGAAAATCCTGATAAGAATATCAAGAGGATCTCTTGGTCTTGAGGACATCATGGGAAGGCTGGCTCTCACTGCAATGCAGTCTTTAGCCCCCTCACTCTCATTTCCTGATTCCAGATCAGAGGATGATAAGGACCTGGGACTGTCTTCACCTCCTGATTGCTCCCCAGAGTAAGGAGACTGGATGCTATCATGCTTTTTTGAGTGTTCTGAAGTAGATGACCTGATGCTTTTTTTCCCAATGGCACCATTAGACTTAGAAGATGATCTCAAAGAAAGCTGGTGGGATTTAGAGCATGGCTCTTCTTGTCCACTCTGGCATGAGTCACATTGACTCCCCTTTTGTTCTGAGAAAGAGAAAGTAAAAAAAGAATCAAATATAGAAAAACTTCCTAAAACCTATTACCCACTCAAAAATTATACTAGATAAGACCATTCATTTCCTAATAACATATTAGTAATATTTATTCATACTAAAACTTTTTAATGGAGTCATTTCAGGATCACAAGGACAGACAACATGTAAATGTAGTAGTATTTAAGAATCAATAGAGGAGAGTGTTGTTACTCAGAAATGTTAACATAACACCAATACTGCACAACATTTGCTCATATGGTTGGTTTGGTGTTTGCATAAATATTTGGTGTTTGCATAAATATAAGTTTTGTTACTATATATTTTTCCCCCATAGTGACACTACATAAAAAGAACTACATATAGGTTAGGTTTAGATAACAAATTTTTATAAAGTAATCTTAGCTTGAAAATGAATATTCTATTTAATTACTAATGCTAAATTTCAATAATTGGTTTCTTATGCTCACATTTCAGGTTCTAATTAAGTCATTTGAATAATGTGGAAAAATAACAAAATCGTTAATTTCATTCAAACTTAGGGCAATAATGTCATCTATATCAATCTCAAATCATTCCATATGATATGTTCCAAATCATTCCATATTCATTTTCTGTGAGATGATATGGACTTGGTATTTTTTCTTAATCCTCTGTAAAAAATATATTTTCTTTTTTAATCCCTAAAAAAAAAAAACTAAGAAAAGTTTAAAATAACATTTCTTTAAAGAAAATTAAAAACTGCACTACAGCCATTTGTAAAGAACCTGAAAGAATCCTATTAAAAACATATCAGGCATTTGCTTCAAATCACACCCCTTCCTCCAATATTAAGTGATTTGCAACCATGATACATAACACACTCATAGTTTCTTCTGTTTTCTTAAGAAGCAGACCTAAACTCTAAAATAAAAAATAAATGTTTATCCAAAAGTTAAAATGTGTAAAATTTAGTACTCTGAGGGTCAAAATGCTGTCATGTAATGACAAAAGAAAGGATGGTACTACTGAAAAATCAGACTCTAGTACTAATTTTCAACTCTAAATACAACTTTTCTAATCAAGTCTGCCAAATTCCATTGACATTGATCCTCTATTCCATTTTTCTTATAAATGGGATTCACAAAGTATGTCTGCCTTAACATTTAAAGTAGTATTAAAATTTCATGTCCACAGCAACATAAAAGAATTTTTCATTATTATGTTGTACTCATAGTACAAATACTGGTAAAGAAATACTGATTCTATTTAGAAACTAAGGTGTCTTTAAAATACTATGATGCCATTTCTTTCATCTCTGTCCTCAACTTCTAAAGCTTGTTTTACTTCTATTGCATTTATCATTTTTATAATATACCTTGTATTATAGAATTGGATACTACATATAATCCACCTTCCTTTGAATATGAGATTCTTTTGTGTGGAAAATATTATTCACTGAATGATTGTTGGTCTTTTGTCCAATGAATGAATAAATTAAACAATACCTTACTACAGTCAACTGTCAATTTAAAAAGCCATTGGAGTGGCCTTTCAAAAGGTGGCTTACTTTCTATAGAGGGTCGTCTGGGGCAATAAAATAGAATAAAATAATTAGCTACAAACAGAACACCTGGGAATCAAAAACATTCCACAAATCAATGCCATCAGGTGATCTCACTGCCAGTTTCAAGAATTCCAACTTTCACTTTTTCTTATAGTGGTTTTACTTATTTTGTCTATTTTATTTTGTCTACTAAAATAAACTGGACCATATGCAGAAAGTTGGCATGTGTAAAAACACAAAATTATATATGCCTCATTTCAATATAGAGATAATCTTTTTCAAAATACATTCTGTGATCTGTTAAGATCTACAATTTTCACAATTCAAGGAGTTCCTAATTAGTAAATTTATTGTATCATTTTGTAATTTCATGTTACAACCTGTTTGGAACATTTTTTAAACATTTTTAAAAACTGGAATTTTCACTGCTAGTAGGCCTGTGGAGGGCTATGAATTTCATGGATATACAATGGAATTCACATTAGCAAGAAAAGTTAATTTGGGGTAGCCTTAGTTTTTTTTTTTTTTTTTTTTTTAAGTCTGTACAGACATGCACACATATCCTAACATAGAGGGTATTTGCAAGTAATCTGCAGTCAATAAATAATAGGAAAAAATGTAAACTTCCTTGGATAAGAAATCTCCAGTATTGGAATTGGGGCTGGGCTGTAGCTCCTTGGCAGAGTGCTTGCCTAGCACGTGTGAGGTACTGGGTTAAATCCTTAGCACCACGTGAAAATAAACAGATATAGGCATGCTGCCCAACTAAACTACAAAGAATTTAAAAAAAGAAAGAAAGAAAGAAATCTCCAATATTAAACTGTGATAGTGCCACCAATGGTTTTGCAATCTGAAAAACCTAAATGTATCTCCTATGGGAAGAAACAAAACTTCAGATACCAAAGCTTTCTACACTTTTGGAGTCGGACAAATAGTTGGTGGAGGATGCTTAAAGAATTAAAGGGAGAGAAAGAGAGAGAAAAAGAGATCGTTTAATAGATCTTCTTTTACCTAGTTCTAGCTGGAGCCAGAGGCTTGCTCCAAAGTTGAAAAAATGCACTCCCATCAGTGAATTTCCCACGCTAGTTCTAAAGATTCACTGATTTTATAGTTGGAAAAAAGTATACAGCAAGCTCTAAACACCCCTCACTACGCTTTTGCTTTTCGTTGAACGCACGCTTGAACGAAGTTCTGTTCAAAGTTACAACAAACTTGTGCAAATGTAATGCCATTCCTAGGGCAAGTCGTCATCTGTTATCACCCACATTTCACCCTTTCATTAACTTTTCCTATCACTTTAGGAAACAAACAGAAAGGCCTTCCAAAGTGAAGGTGCTGGGTCTCTTAACACCCTCATTGACATGCTTTCTATAAAGTCGTTTTGGAGAACTTGAGAGCTTCTTTTGAACAACTTTTCTTTTTTGCCTCTAGGGCGCTACTGGTTTTGTTGTTGTTGTTTTCCTTTCCCGCCCCCGCCCCCCTCCCAAACTCTTTCTCCACAGCAATTACTTGCAAAAAGCACACCAAAGACCAACTCACCTTGTTTGTCCTCTGCATCATCTTGCTGAATAACCTCGATAGCAGGGGTTGCCAGACCACTAGCTGGTCTCAAGGCACCCAATTCCTGAGCGGGCACCGCCTTAGGCTCGCCGGCAGCCTGGGAATTCACCGTTCTACCGCGGCTTTTGGACGCCCGACCCTCCGGACCCGAGACTCCAGGGTACAAGAAACTCTGCGGTCCCCGAGCCTCGCTCTCCTCTTGCGCCTGCTGCCTGCGCAGCGCCACCTGGGCGGCCATCACGCGCTGGCGCTCGGAGATCAGGGTGCACTTGACACACGCGCAGTCCTGCCAGCGGCAGAAGCGCTTGTGGCCCTTGAGCGCCGACACCACACCGTGGTTGCGGCAGCGAGAGCACTTGGGCGTCCGCAGGTAGCCGCAGCCCACTGCGCTCACGCCTCTCTCCAGCCTAGGAACTGGCCGGCAGCCCCCGCTTCCCGCCGTGGAGGCGGCGGCGGCGGCGGCAGCTCGCAGGAAGAGGCCGGAGGGCCGCAGATAAGCTGGTGGAACTGGTATCCCCGAGGATACCGGTAACGCCGGCGGTGAGGGATGAGGGGTCGCAGCCACCAGTCCCGGGCCAGGGTGGAGAACACCGTTACCGCTGTGGTCTCCTCTGCCACGCTGTGACTGCTCCATTCGTGAAGTTTCTAGCGAGGTGTTGTAACTGGGAATGGTGCTGTCCGCAGATAAACCTGCAGGGATACTGGGGTAGGAAGTCGCTGTCGTCCGGCTGTCCCCCACCCACATAAGGACAAGTTTACACTCTGTCCCTCCGGAGTTGGGAATGACCGCGTCCCGGAGCTCGAGACACTGACAAGCTCAGCTGCCCCGAAAGCCTCTTACAGTCCCCGGGGGCTAAGGAAGTGCCCCAGTGCTCTGCGCGTCGCCTGAACCCGAGGCTGCAATACTAGGCTGCAGAGGTTACCCCGCCCACCGGTCTACTGGCCAAAGGCTTAAGTCGGGGAAGGGCCGGGGGCGGAGATTGGGGACCTTCTAGGAGGAAGGGGGAGCAGGGGACTAGGCACCATCCTGATGGGCTGCAAATGCACATTGCCCCAAAGAAACTGCTTTGTCTCACTTGCCTCCTTATGCGAGTATAGTTTTATAAAAATAGTTTCGCGCCCTCCTAAATTAAAATAGATTTGAAATTCGCCTTTCTCCAGTTCCTTGCAGGTTTGAAGATCCTGCAGGTTTGAAGATCTGGATTTTGAAAGCTCTTTTTCTTTCTGTTTCCCAGATGAAGTCTTCATGACGATAACCTGACCAAAGTTAGTGAGAAAGCACAGCCTAAAAGGCTGCCAAGTTGGTACTCTTTGGAAAGTGCGTTATTTTAAATGGGTCTTAGGACTGGGAGAAACTACGTATAAATAATTAAGGGAAAGAATTCACATTCATATTCTTTTCAGGGTTCTATTTATTTACACATGCAAATTTGAATTGTGTGTAGTATTGTTTGGAAACGTTGATGCTTAAAGTCATTAGGAATCCCTTCTCTGGAACTATTTATAAGCAGTTGTGTTAAAGCTGTTTCAGAAATAATTCATATTTCTATTGTTAAGTATTGGGTAAGGTAATTTAGGTTATTCTTTAAATATGTTATCATAAAACTCATTCTTGAAATGCACACTTAATGTCTTTAATTGTAGGAAACGTTGATCTATTTTAAACCAGTAACATTGAGACCAGGGGGGAAAAAAATCATGTGGGTTTATTCTCAATGAAAGGGAGAACCTGCACTCTTTCAGTTATTTAAGTAACCAACTGCCTTGACAGGCAATTCATATTTTAGCCCTAAAATGGAATATTTTACCATTCCTTTGTACTCATATACAGGTTACACCTTACTAATCAATCTGGGATTTCTCTTGCCTGCCCACTCCAAACCAAAACCACTTATAGACATCCAGTCAGAGGATTACCATCCTCCCTGAGCATTGGAACTACCTAGAGAACATTTAAAAGATAAAGATATTCCAACCCAAGATATTCTGATTCTTGAAGTGTAAGTCTTAAACTCTCAAGGTGGTAATTACACACAATCAGGGTTTAGAAATATCACTCTAAGAAATTCTGACCTCTGTGGAGTTTATAACACCCAAACTTTTTCATACCTTTTTGTCTTTGCCTGAGCCACACCTGCATAAAATTTAATAATTCTGTAATTTTGAAGCTCACATCCAACATATGAGAGATGAATTTTTAATGTTACATTAAAGTAAATGTACTAATACAAAAAAAAAAAGTCATTCCCGTTTCTATTTTTTTTTTTTTAAGACCTCTTGGTTACATAAAGGAAAATGTTCACCTTGGCAAAAGCATGTCTTTAAATATTTTTTGACTTGTTGATCATGCTTCTTGATGCACACACACAAAGCCTCCATAACTAAAGTGTTTATAATTTAGTGGTATTTTTTTGGTTTTATTCGATTATTACTACCTTGCAATTGTAGCAAATGACACTGGCTTCCAATCAACAAAGGGAAAATAACTTTAAGTAAATGTATCTAAACAAAATGTGAGCAATTTAATAGAAAAATGAAGACTAACACAAATAAATGCACATATGGCAAGGGAGACATATACATATGCATCCATTTCTGATTAAAACTCTCAGAAAACTAAGAATAGAACTTCCTCAACCTACAGCAAACAACATGATTAATTGTAGATGAATAGATGCTCTCTCCCTAAGATCAGAAACAATACAGGGTGTTCACTCTCACCATTTCAGAATTGTACTAAAAATGCTGGCCAATGCAACCAGGCAAGAAAAAATCTGTTAAATATACTCAGATTAGAAAGGATGATATAAAAATCTTATTATCTATAGGTGATATAACCATATGATAAAATTCACACACACACACACACACACAAAAAAAAAATCCTACTAAAACTGAAGTGATTGATTTTTTACAAGTTTGGAAGATATAAGTTCATTATAAAAGATGTATTTCTATAAGTTGAAATTAAATTAAATGATCAGAAATTTAGGAAACATTCATAGTAACATGCAAAATATAAAATACTTAGGGCTATATTTAATGAAATACATGAAAAACAAAATAAAAAACTTTAATGACAAATGAAATTCTCAATAAAGGAAGAGAGAGATCATATTCATGGATCAGATGACTTAACATTGTTAAAATGGCAATTACACCTAAATTGATAATTGATCTGTAGATTAATAAAACCTACAAATTAAAATTCCAACAGCCTTTTTTATTTGGTAGAAATTATCAAACTCATTCTAAAATTTATATGATAATGCAAGAAAGAATCTTAGACTAGCCAGAAACTTCTTCAAAAAAGAATAAAGTCACAAGGCTAACATTACCTTATTTCAAAAATTATTGCAAAGTTACAGTCATCAAAATAGTGTAGTGCCAGGAGCAGTGGCATGTGACTGTAATCCCAGCACCTCCAGAGGCTGAGACAGGAGATTGTGAGTTCAAAGCCAGCCTCAGCAAAAGTGAGGCACTAAGTAATTCAGTGAGACCCTGTCTCTAAATAAAATATAAAATAGGGCTGAGGATGTGGCTCAGTGGTTGAGTGCCCCTGAGTTTAATCCTTGGTACAAAAAAAAAAAAAATAACAACAACAACAATAAAAACAGTGTAGTACTGGTTGAAAGATACACAGATCAACAAATGTGGCAGAATAGAAAGCTTACAAATAAACCCAAACATAAAAATATTAATTATAGGCAAATGTGCAAAGGCATTTCAGTACAAAAAGGATAGATTTTTCCCCCACAAATTTTGCTAGAAAAATTGGACAACTATATAATTTTTTTTTAACTTTGACCTATTGCATCACAGAAAATTTGGATCAAAATGGATCATAGACTTAAATTTAACCCATGAAACAGTACACCATTATGACCTCAAATTATGCAAATATTTCTTAGACACAACCCTAAAAGTATGACACATAAAAAAAGTGATTAACTGTACTTCATCACAATTAAAAACTTCTTCTTAAAGACATTGTGATGAGAATGAGAAGACTCATCAGACTGAGGTAACATAATTGCAATACATACACACACCTGATAAAGAGCCTACATATAGAATATATAAAGAATTTTCTTTTCTTTTCTTTTTTTTATGTGGTGCTGAGGATCAAACCCAGGACCCAGCACATGCTAGGTGAGCGTTCTACTGCTGAGCCACAATCCCAGCCCATGTAAAGAATTTTCAACACTCAGTAGGAATATTAACAATCTGTGTTGTTTTCCTAATGTGCAAAAGATTTTAATAAACACATTGCCAAGGAAGATATATGGATGGAAAATCAACAAAAGATGCTGCACACCATTAGTCATTAGGGAAATAAAAATTAAACTTACCTCCAAATATCACAAAGTATCTATAACAATGACTAAAATTAAAAAGATTGACCATACCAAGTATTGCCAAAATGCAGAGTAGCTCTCACTCTCATGAGAGTGAAAAACACTTTTGAGTTGCTTTAAAAGTTTTTACTATATGATCCAGCCATTCATTCCTAGATATTTCCCTAAGAAAAAATAAAACAAGCTTTCCTATAGTTATAAACTAGAAAAATCCAAATGTCAATCAACAGATGAATAGATAAACAAATTGTGGTATATCCATATGATGAAATAATACTTAGTAATAAAAAGTACATATCACTACATAAATGAGCCTAAAAATAATTATTCTGAGAGAAAGAAGTAAGACAAAAAAGAAATGTATATAGTATGATTTAATTTATATGAAATCATAGAAACATATAGTAATAGAAAGTTTGCCATCAGTGAGTAGTTCCCTGGAACAAGTTGTGGAGGAACATGCAAAGATGGGCAAGTCATATATGCATTCAACTTCATTTTTCCCATTGGCAAATGAAAACATTGTCATCCCCAAGGATGCTTTCAAGTCTGTGATTCATTTCATTTGTCAGGTCTAACTGAAGTTATTTTTCTCTGATGCTCTCAACTTCTGGAGAATATCATTACTATTCTTTTAAGGCATCAGTCAAACATCTCTCATTACAGCTACCTAAACTTTAAGTTCAAGTAGCAATATCCTGACTTTCCTGGGAGAAATTGTCTCAACTTCACTTCCCCTTATCCTAGTTTAGCTCCTGCAATAAAGGCCCCATTTAAGACAAAACATTCTATCTCCTCTTTTCTCTATGTACAATTTCTCTTTAAGCTCTCCTGATAATTTGCCAGAAGTCCTAAAAATAGTTGTTCCTCTGCAATCTATAATTTAATGTTAAAGAAATAACCTTATGATGTTTCTTTGATAATTGTTCATCTTCCAGATCACTTGCCAATTACGACTTTAACTTAGCAAAGATTTTAAGGCAAGGTATAGACAACACTGGGGGGATGAAATTGGGCCTAGATAGAAAGAAAGTCAACCTGTGATACATAATTCGACAGGAAATGAGCTCAACACACCTAACAGGAACCTTTAAAAGAAAGATGGTAAAACACTCTTGGTTAACCTATTGGTGAAGGAAAAGCAAAGTGTACAGGCATAGTTTAGTGGAAGTTTTTGCAAGAGATTTGGGAATTTGGAAGACAAGGCTCTATATTTTCTTTTTCTTTTTCTTTTCTTTCTTTCTTTCCTTTTTTTTTTTTAAGCATCAACATGTAC